TAGCATAAGAAATGAAATTTAAAAAAAAAGTTTGGAGAGATAGAGAACTTTAAAAAATTGAAAAAAAACTAATCAAAAATTAATTCTTTGCAGGGCTGGAAAGATAGTATAGAGATTAAGTCACTTGACTTACACACAGCTAACCATGGCTCAGCTAGTACCCATAAGGTCCCCCAAACTCACCAGAAGTGCTCTCTGAATCCAGGACCAGGAGTAAACTCTAAGCACAGCTGAGTGTAGTTTTTTGAGTTTTTCTTTTCTTTTTTTTTTTTTTTTGGAGGGGGTCACACCCAGCAATGTTCAGGGCTTACTCCTAGCTCTGCACTCAGAAATCACTCCCGGCAGTACTCGGGGGACTATATGGGATCCTGAGGATGGGGATCTTACCCAGTCTTACCCTGCAAGGCAAACACTCTCCACACTGTAATATTGTTCTGGCCCCTGAGTATAGTTTAAAAGACAACAACAAAAAGCAATTGATTATTTGGGGAAAACAATCAGTTAACAAGTCTTTAACTAGACAAAGAAGTAACAAACAATTATAAGATAACAGTATATTCAATCATGTCAACAAATTAGATGATCTGGATGAAGAGGAAAAAAACTTAGAAACATACAAAACTACAAAAACTGATTCAAGAGAAATAGAAAAATCTCAACAAATCTATAAGTAAAGATATTGAATCAATAATCTTAAACCTTTTCACAAAGGAAAGACCAAGACCAGATGACTTCACAGGTAATTCTTACAAACATTTAAAGAATGAACTGTATTCCTTTTCAAATTCCTCTCACAAAGAGATAAAGGAAGAGGAAAGAAAAGAGGTGTGGAGGGAAGAAGATCAGGAGAAAGGGAGGAAAGAGGAGGAGGAACAGGAGGAAAAGAAGGACGAAAAGAAGAACACTTTCTAGCCTGTTCTGTGTGGTCAGTTTACTTTGATACATAATCAGACATTGAAAGAAAATAAAACTGCAGATCAATATTCCATATTAATTAGATCCAAAAGTCTTTAACTTAATGCTCAAAAACTAAATCAGCAGCATACTAAAAGAAATATTTGTCAAGACAAAGTGAGATTTATCTCAGGAAAGTTGGAGTCATTCAACATATAAATTAATGTAGTATACCATCTCAATAAAATCAGTAAGAGGTGAGTAAGTTTTGATGCTGAGAAAACATATGACTATATTGAACATGGTAAAAACACACATGTAAAATATAGGAATAGAAAAAATATGCCACAACTTAAATTTAAAGAAAACCACAGCTAATATCTGACTTGGTGGTGGAAGATTAAAAGCTTTACCTCTGTGATCTGGAGGAAGACAAAAAAAACTGCGGTAAGGCGTTTGCCTTGCACGCAGCCAACATGGCCGACCCGAGTTCGATTCCTCCGCCCCTCTCGGAGAGCCCGGCAAGCTACCGAGAGTATCTTGCCCGCACAGCAGAGCCTGGCAAGCTCCCTGTCACGTATTCATATGCTAAACACAGTAACAACAAAGTCTCCAATGGAGATGTTACTGGGCCCACTCGAGCAAATCAATGATCAACGGGAGGGCCTTTACCTTTTACCTTTTACCTTGCTTCTATTCAATGTTGTACAGGAAGCCCTAACCAGTATAGTTAGGCAGAGAAAGGAGATAAAAGGTGTCCATGCTAATTAGGAAGAGATAAAATTATATTCTTTGATAGCACAATTTTAGAACATTGTAGAATATTTTAAAGAATAAAAAAATACCTATAGAACCAATAAAAGATTTCAGCAAAGTTGCAGGGCACAATAAAATAATTTGTTGTCTATATCACCAACTAACAATTTAAAAACAGAATAATTCTATTTTGATGCAATAGCATGAAAAAGAGGTAAATACTTTGGAATAAAATAATCTAAGACTTATATGCTGAGTACTACAAAATATTTCCAAAATAAATGTTGCTAAATCTAAATAAATGTAAGGGAAACTGCCTTTATGGTTCTGGAGACTTAATATTACTAAGTTGGCAGTACTGGTGTTATGGGGGATAATTCCAGAAGTAGAGCACCTGCCTTATATGTGTGAAGCCCTGAATTCTGTCTTCAGTACTGTACGGCCTCCTGACCATTGCCAGGTAGTGAATCTACTGGGGAGAAAAGTAAGGAAATACTACCCAACGCAGTCTATAATTTCAATTTCATGCAATACTAATGGAGTCCTCTCAAAATAGCTCTTTGGTAGTGGGGGAAGGGACATACATGGAAAAGTCAATCCTAATGTCTTGGGAAGAAATCCTAAATAATCAAAACAAATAATCAAAATCATTTTGAGAATTATAAAAAATAAAGAATTCATAATTTAAAATTTCAAAATTTTATACAAATTAATAATAAAACTTGCATGGAACTTGAATAAAATAGAGAGCAATACAATAAAACTGGGTCTCCAGAATTAAAACTATTTTCTTGATCAGATTTATCATTAAATCTTTATCACTAGGAAAGTGGAAAGCATAATCATAAGATACCTCTTTACAACACACTGGTATGGATTTATTTAAAAATGTGGGAGATCAGAGTCATAGTACAGCAGGTAGAATGCTTGCTTGCACGAGGTCAACCTAGGTTCCATCCCCAGCACCACATATGGTTCTGTGAGCCTCAGCAAGTGATTCCTGAGTGCAGAGCCAGGAGTAGATTGAGAACTACCAGGAGTGTGGCCATCCCAAAACTAACTAAATAAATAAAAATGTGGGAGAGAAGGAAATAACAAATATTGGTAAGGACCCTAAAAAATTGGAACTGTCACATAATGCTAATAGAAATGCAAAATTGTGCTGCGGTGGGAATTAGTTTGATGACTCCTCCAAAAGTTATCTATATATTTACTGGATCACTGAGCCTTTGGATTCCTAGCTTCACACGTGGAACAACTGAAAAAAACAGAGAGAATAAAAAAAAAAGAGAATACTTGACATCAAAGTTCAGAGAAGCACTATTCAGAAAAACCAGATGAGGGGAACAACCCACTGTTCATCAGTGGAACAGTAGACCAACAGATGTGTCATATCCACACAACAGGCAAGTACTCTGCTTTGGAAAGAAGTATTCATACAGTCTATAAAGTGGATTACACCCTAAACAATATGAGAGGCGAGAAACCAGACCCAAGACATCCAGTATTTCATGAAACACTGTGCAATGAGCCAGTCACAGAGGGGAGATGGCCACAGAGAAAGGGGCTGGACAGTCCCCAGGAAAGGGAAACACTAGAAGGGAGACGGTACTCTGAAGTCCTGAGTCCCCCCTGACTGTTCTTCCAAGTCATATGTGCATGATCTTTGATGTCTGGTAGTCTCTTTGTTAAGAAAAACAAGTGTTGTGTTTTATAACATATAAGCCAAATTCACATTTTTTCCAGGGGTGGTGGTGCACACCTGGCTCTGCTTCAGGCTTACTCCTGGTTCTGTGCTCAGGGATCATTCCTGGATCACTCCTGGTGAGATTCAAAGAACCTATGTGGTGCCTGGGAGAGAATCAGGTTGGCTATGTGCTAGGCAAATGCCTTGTTTGTCCTACTATCTTTCTAGTCTCCTGAATCAATATTTCTAATTATAAATTCTATAAGCATTAATTTAATCATCCAGTAGAATTCTGAAAGCTACTCTATTTTTGAGAAGGAATTAGTGGTTTTTTAAATAAACGTATTTTTGACATCAATGTAATTTTTTCTTTAGGGAAATTGTGGGTTATTCTGGTGGTCCAAAAATGCACAGCTCAAACCTGGGTGACGTGCTTTTATAACAACTTTCCCATAGATATGTTAGCTGAAAAATTCAGGTAGGGTTGTGCGTAGGGGTAACTAACTGTATAATTTTTTTAACTTGCTTCTTGTTTGAAATTTGGTATGAAAAGTATTAGGGAATCCCTTACTACTTTATAGATGTGGACAGGGTATGATTATTAAACTTCAAATAACTGTCTCCTCATTAAACTCTATCTTTATCAATGATCTGTGTGAGTTGATTTGACTCTAAGGGTTTTCAAATCCTATTTTAGGGAAAATTTTCATCAAATAAATTACTGGGAACTTTTACTTTTAATGTAATTTATTTAATTACTTTTTTCATTTTTTAAGTAAGCATAAAAGTAAAAGTAAAGTAAAGGCCCTCCCATTGATCGTCGATTTGCTCGAGCGGGCGATAATTATTATCTGAAAATTGGGCCAGAGATAAAGTAGAGCATATAATTTGCCTGCCTTACATTTAACAAGAAGGCCCATGAACTCAGGTTTTATCCCTAGCACCATATATAGTCCCTCAAGTTCCACTAAGGAATGATCCCTGAGCACAGAAGAAGCTCTGAGCACCGCCAGGGATAGCCCAAACCCCCCCCAAAAAAAAATTTTACTTGAAAACTCACCAATGCTGCCTTTGTTGACCTTGAAGACATTGTGCCAAGTGAACAAGTCACAAAAAGTAAATTCTAGCTGATTCCACTTAAATGAGGTCCTTGAAATAGTCGAATTCATGGAGACTATTGTAGAACGGTAGGAACAGGGGCCGGGGAAACAATGGAGAGTTAGTTTTGAAGGAGCACAGAGTTTCAATTTTGAGGGAGAAAAAATTCTGGAGATAAATAGTGATGATGGCTTGCACTACCCCACCAATAATTTTAATGCTCTTGAGCTATTCACTTTAAAATGGTTGCAGTGGACTGAAGACGGAATACAGCATGTGGGGCCTTGCACGCGACTGACTGGGTTTGATCCCTGACACTCTGGAACCTGAATTCAAAGCCAGGATAAGTGAGCTCCCCTGGGTATGGCCCTAAAACAAAACACAAACGGTTGAAGTGGTCAGTTTGAAGTTACGTATATTTCATCTCAATTGGAAATAATAGAACCTGAGCAAAAGCGCCTCCCCTAGAGACTGAGCACGGTTTCCCCTTTAGCGACATTGTCCTCTTCTTGGGGACTTACTTAGTCCAAGCACACTGCATCCAACCTCTGACTGTTTCTTCCAGGAAGAAAACTCGCCATCCATGGAGCTAATAGCCTTGCAGATAGAAGACGAGGAGATCACCCTGAACGAGAAGCCACGGAAGTACCTTAAGCGAGTCTACGAGCAAAGCATCTATAAGTCGCTGGTGGAGAAGAGCATCCTGGACTACCTGCACTACAATCACTACCACCTGCCCATGTATGCCTGGCCAGGCATCATTTAGTTCTGGTCCTGGGCTCGGAAATCTGGTGTCCTGAAGTCTGGCTGAACAACACATGGGTGAGTTTCTTTTCCACATCCATTGACGCCTGGAATTTTCTGTCACTCCAGAAGGTGGCGCATGGCTGTCTGCCTCTATTCTGGGGCAGGACAAGGCTCTTAATACCATATCCGTTCCTGTGCAGAATAAACCATCTTAACAATAAAATGTGGTTGTAATGTATAAAATTTGTATGTGTGTTTACTTTGTTTTTATTCTGTTTGATTTTCTGAAATGTCTTGCCTTAATTATGTTGAATCTCGTGTGTTTCTCCACCAGTATTATTGAGCAGAAACTCTTCTGCCAGGAATGAAAAATTAGAAAATTAGATGATGAGAAATTAATTTGGTAACTCAGCATCAGAAGGTCTGAATGTGTAGGCAAGTTTACACAAACTTTTGAACGAAGGTCCATCTTTTACTTCACGCTGTAGATCAGGAACATGAATGCTTGGAAACCCTTTAAGGTGGCACAGGTCTTAGGTTAGAAAACAGCAGGGATGGATCACTCTGCTTCATTTCTTTTGACCCTTGGCACTGTTGCATCCACATCTGTCAGCAGCCCCTGAGATATGTCACTAGTAAGTGGGGCAGAAATCTTCTTTCTTAGAAAGAAACTAAAACACATGCAGATTCAGTAACCAGCAGGGACAACACCCAAGATTGACATTTATTTTGACAGATACAACGTGGTACAACTTGTTACTGGCATATTTGACCAACAGCACTTATACTTGGTTTTTATATATACAGCTTCAGTTTTTGTTTATATTCTGCATTTGCACTGACATTTAACAAAAGTCTGTGCCCTTATGAGGGTCACACAGTCCTTAGGGATAACAGTCAGAGTTGCCATCATACAATTATGCACCATTGTAATCATGCAGCATTAAAATATCAAATGTATGCTTCTCAAAACTAAATTGTTCTACCACACTAGACTCAAATTCTTTGACCACAGGCAAAAGCAAGCCATAAACTCCACTAATTACTTTAGACAAATGTTTAGCCCAAATGTATAGGTCATTTCGGGGGAGGGTCCAGCTCCAGCCATATGGTACAAACCGTAACTTGAACAGAGAACAATCACGATGGCTTCACCCTCCAAGCTGCAGGCTCAACACACATGGATGAGTATGTCAGCTCAAGAACTTGTTCCTCCTGCTCCTGTCCCCAGAGAGAAGCATGGTTCAGATTCATCAGCAAATGGGGACCTTTCTGTGATGAACCCTGGCAGCCTGGGGTTGGAATGAACAAAACCACTTCAGAGAATCGACCGTTATCATTCTTGTGATCAAGTATTCCCATAAAGAAGCTTTTGTCACATAAAGTGGCCCCAAATAGCAGTGCCAACCTTAATAGCAAATTATGCATAAATTGGGGAGTTTTCCTTTGCCTCCTTTTGTTTTAATAGGCTAGGCTTGGACCCCTATAATTATCGTGGTGGGTTTGAAAATGTGGAAAGAAAACTTTTTTGTCTCTTAAGTATATTGGATATTCTAACTTGTTATCTAGAAAGCAAGTCATTTCCCGCCAGAGTTAGCATATAGACACAGGCTTGTGCATTTTGTTTTGAGAAACAACTTTCCTAAGAATAAGACGCATTGGCTAAGAATAAAAGGTGCCACCATAGCTTAAAATGAGCTGCTTTAAGAGTTTTGCTGCTGATAAAGTCTGATAAAAAAGAACAAGTTTCAAAAAGACTATTTGAATTTCTCTGGCATGCAGGGACACTAAGTGTAGAAAGCCCCTATGTCGATCAGCGTTGTTGCTGTGGAGCTGGAGACCCCTTGGGCACTGAGCCCTTTCTTGGAATTCTATGGTTGTGAACAAAGAATACCGACAAGAAAATACCAACGTTTATTTTCCCAACTTGTAACCCCCTAAATCGCCTCCTATGGTCTTCTGACGTAAGTCAGTTTGTAACGGAGTGGAGTCACCTCCTTTCCAGAAATGGTTTCTTAGAATTTTGTCACACCCAAATATCATGGGAAAGCCAAGGAAAATTTTAAATGAGGCATACAAGAGGTGCGTGTGTGTGTGTGAGAGAGAGAGAGAGAGAGAGAGAGAGAGAGAGAGAGAGAGAGAGAGAGAGAGAGAGAGAGAGAGCCCCATAAGTGAGGGAGTGATTGTGAGCCAAGAAGCCGGTGAGAAGGGCTCGAAAGTCGCCTCGTGTGAGGAGCTGTTGATTGTTTTCTGGTTGAGAGAAGAGGTGATGATAAGGCTGGATAAAGTGAGCGCAGCAACCGGGCACGGCGCCGGCAGCTGTATGCTAATGCTAATGCCGCAGAAACCAAGCCTCCGAGTCCCCCATTAAAGCAGGCGGCCAGGAGGCCACACATCACTGAACAAATAGGCTCTCTCTAGACAAATAAAATAAAATAACACACGTAGGCCTGCGGGGAGGGGCGAGGAGGGGGAAGGGAGCGGAGTGAGTCGGGAGCGAGGCAGGCCCCGAGGAGGGAAGGCGGGAGGAGGGCAGGGGGCGGAGGGGAGGCTGGCGGGAGGACGGGGCTGCGGGCAGGGGTGAGGGAGAGCGGAGCGCTGGAGCGGAGCACCAGAGAGCTGGGAGGGCAAGGACAGGTGGGAGGAGAGGAGGAGGAGAGCCCGAGGAAGAGAGGGAGACTGGGAGCGAGGGGGAAGGGAGGGGGCTGGGGGAGTGGAGTGTGCGGGGAAGGACTATAAGCCCCAGCCTAGGAGCCGGGAAGGAAAGCGGGGCCCGGACAAGCGGGGAAGTGTCGCGTTTTGTCCCCAGGGAGGGAGGCTGGCTCTGTGTCACTGGGGCGGGCGAGGAGGGGTCGGTCGTGGAATGGTACCGACTTTTCTGGGGGGTGCAGGGTGCCTCCTCGGAGACCGAAAGAGGGGAGCGTTGGCGCCACTCCACAGGTGCAAGCCAAGCCCTGGTGCGCTCCGCGTCCAGGCCCATCCCGGTGCGTTCCCGGCAAGGCTCGCTCTGTCCAGCATCCAGCTCCGAGCGTGGCCTGGCCACGCCGTCTGACAGTCAATTCGAGGTCAGCGGCGCCCTACGCGTCGTTCGCTGGCTTTGGAGCCCCCTCCCCTCGCAGCCCGGACGGTGCCAGGCGAGGCCCGAAAACCGAACCAAACCAAACCAACAGCCCCGAGGGCGCTCGGATCGAGCTCGGGACGAGGGGCGCGCGTCGGCGGGACGCGGGGCGCGCCCAGACTGCCGGTGGCGCTTGGAGCTCGAGGGGAGGAAAACACCCGAGCGGTCCCTCCCCGCGCCCCGCGGACGGCGCCGCTCGCGGATTCGCCCTTGTTCGCTCTCTTTCATGCACTCTCCTTTTGTGTGGAATTATTTAAACGGGAGATCCGAGGCAGCTTTATGCTAATGCAGCGAACAAAGGCGGCGGCCGGCGGGCTGGGGGCCCGGAAGGTGCCCCGAGGCCGGTCGGGGCCGGGGGTGGGAGGGGGAGGGCGGCGGGCTGGCGGCCGGGCTGCGCGTGTCTTTCGCGTGCCCGGGGGACGGCACAGCCACCCTCATTCCTGCAAATACAAAAGCCCTCCCCGGGCTCCGACCCAGCGCGGCCCCCCCGGGTCCCGCGGGGCCGGGGAGCAGCGGCCCTGTGGGTGACTCGGGAAAGAGGTCCGCGGTGGAGGACCTGGGAACGGAGGGATGCCGACGACCTGCCCGCATCGCCCTTGGCGCCTACGAACGCGTCGCCCGCTTGGCTGTAGGAGATTTCTCGCCCTCCACTCCTCCCCTCTCGGGCGCTCAGGCTTTGCCCAACCCGGTCGAGTCGATACGCCGCCGCCACCGGACCACCCCTAGACCATTAAGCCCCCCCCCCCCCCCCCCCCCCGCTTTAGCTATTGTTTCCGAGCGCACTGCTTTACAGAAACTTCGGCAGTTTGAAGCTTGGGCTGGGGGACACAGTGAGCCCCAGGTGCACCCAGATCGCGAGTTTGCAGCGCCGGACCCCGGGCATTTATAGAACGCCTGCGGCCCTCAGCTCTGAAGCTGTCAAAGAAAGAACCCAGCACCCGCTCAGCGAGTGAGAGATCCGCCCAGGACCCCTCGGGCTGGAGGAGCACGCGTCCCGACCCTGCTCTCCATCCCTAAGTCCTACTTCGGGGAGGCCCCGCTGAGTGAGGCCCAATCCGTGCCTCGTGTCTCCTTATCTCAACCGTCCCCCGCGTGCTTGGAGCAGCAGCGTGCAAAGGCCCGCAGCCCCAGCGCAGGGCGGAGACGCTTAGCTCTTCTGTGAGGACAAGTCCGTGGGCCTGAGGTTATGCCCGCAGGCGTACAGAGTTTAGAGACCAAACCAGCGGGAGACGACCGACACTTAGAACCCGCATTACGATGTACCGCCTTGCGGGTACTGGCCTGTGCGCGCGGGCCCGCAGCCTGACTCTCCCCAGCCTTGGATTTTGACATTAGTTTCGCATACTTGGACTTTTCAGGTTCCCGCTTATTCTGGCAGTCTTCGTCCAAATTCATTTTCGCCGACGAAGCTAGAAATCACAAATTCAGGAAAAGACCGGACCTACTGAATCTCGTCAAACTATTGTATCTCAACAGTGTTCAGTGGATTCTGCTGGTTTATTTCAGAGCCCTGTCTGGGTTCCTCTATTCCCGCGTACACACAGGCACGCGCGCGCATGCATACACACACACACACACACACACACACACACACACACACAGGCACGCGCGCGCATGCATACACACACACACACACATCTTTATAATTATGGGGGTTGTTATTTGTAAAGGATTCACAAGGTGGCTAACTCTGCTTGTTATCTGTTGAATGAAAGGAGCATTACATATGCAAGACAGACCAAACACCCCTCAATCGGTTGGGGATGGCGAGCCGAGCCCGGGCCCTATTATTCCACAATCCAGATGGGATTCGTGATTAGAAAATAAAATTGGCCAATACTGTCCCGGAATCCCTTTTTCAGTTTATATTTCATCAGCAATATCAATCCTCAAGAGAGCGTGAAAATAATGTCACTGAAATTAAACATTTCAGATAAGCTCATTTTAGGATGTCTAACTTTTTTGAGAACTTGCATTTATGGCAGGGCATTTATGGTATATGAATTTATGCCTTTTAAAAATGAACATGAGAGTTTTCAAGATACATTTCTGTATCTTGAATATATATATACATATATATCTTGAACAAAAGATACATCAGTCTGTTGTTTTTAAAAAATATCACAAACATCAAATTATCAAATATCTTTAGTCCTGATCAACCAACTTGATCAATTGATGAGCAATCCTAACAATTGTCCCGATTACAATTCATGTGGATTCTGTTAGAATCTGTCAAATTTCCTCGTCGGGGTATTTTTGGAGGGAAAACGCGCTACAATTAAATGCCTTCAGGGGACTCAAGCATTAAGCAAAAGTCAGCAAAATCTATCTGTGTGCACAGAGCATTGCAAGAAAATCTTGGTTTCCTTTTTCAGTCAAGCGACATTTTCCTTACAACAGGGCATTTTATCTAGGCTTTTCTATTTATTCCCCAATGCTGGGCGAGGTGGTCCACGATGTGCTCTCGGGGTTCGGTGTGTGCCACAGAAAGTCTGCTTTCGGGTTTCCTCGGACCACTGACGGGAAGAGGGAAAGGAGCAGAGACAAACGAGTGTCCGCTGGGGTATGTGATTGTGTGTGTGTGGGGGGGGGGGGGCGGGGGGTTGGGGGGCTCTTCTCTGTTGTCTTTTCCTGGTGGCACAGGGGCTGGAGGGGGAGGCCTGTCCTCTCTGAAGCCACAGCCTGCCTCTGAGGACAGATTGCCCCCCTCTCCCTCGCCGTCCCCCACCTCTCCTCCCCCACCCCAGCAGCACGCGTCTCTTTTGCGTCCAGATTGGCCGCGACCGCCGCTCAATAGCTGGAGGTTAATTTCCTTCACAAAGGTGAAGGGGCACAGCGCGGGGGGGGGGGGGGTGGCGGGGGGGGTGTTCTCCCAGACAGGCGGCCCCTTTATTTTGCCGTGGCTTGATTGGAGCTCTTGATTTAGCATCTGATGTCAACCCGCAGACAAAATGCTCTCTCCGAATGAAAATGCATGAGGCAGCGCGGAGAGGAAACCAACTTCACTCAGCGCGCTGGGGTACCTCCGCGTCCCGGGCTTTTTCGCCAACTCCACCCGGGTCAGCCCCATCACCCTTGGCAAACAGAGGCTCCTAGCACCTAAGCCGGGCCTTTTCGGGTGTGACAAACCCACGCCCTGGCCATTTAAAAGTTCAGAAATGAAACACACACAGACACAGAGCATTGTTTTGGGAACCCAACCCGCTACGCGTTTCTCCCGTATCCCCAGGTACCGAGCGGGCCAGAGACGGAGAGATGCGGCGCTCGGTAACCAGCTGGAAAGAGGAACCAGCCGGGACCGCGCCCGCCGGGGCAGGGCCTCGCACAGCGCCCGTGCCTGCAGCCTGCTCGGCCCCCGGCCCGCGGCGGGTCGCGCGCGGCCGGCTCCAGGGCTCCTTGGCTCGCAGAGGAGCGGCCGCGCCCCTGCCCGCGCCCCCGCCCGCGCCCTCCTGCCCGCGCCCCTGCCCGCCCTCCTGCCCGAGCCCGCCTGCCCGCGCCCCTGCCAATCGGCGCGCGCCCCTGCCCTCCGCGCCGGCTCGCGGCCCGAGCCCTCCTGACATATTTGGGGCCATTCTTCTCCTTTGTTGCTATTTTGCTCGCGACCCGCGGGTAATCCCCGGGCGGGGGGCGGGGGGGAGCGCATTGTCGCGCTGACGGACGGGCCCATTTGGCGGCGCGGCGCCCCCGGAGGAGGGACACAAAGCCCGGGCACGTGCGCCGCCCCACAGAGGCGCAGCCGACCGTGAAGGGAGGCGGGGCCGGGCGTGTGCCGGGGCCGGGCGGGGCGGCTCGGGCGGGCGGGCGCGGGGCCCGCGCCCTCAGGTACATCTGCCGCACCTACCGCGCGACCCCCGAGCCCGGCCCCCTGGCGGCCGCCGCGTCGCCTTCCCACTCGGCCCGACGGAGGAGCTGCGGGCGCGCTGATTGGCTCCGGGGGAAGCGGGAGGCGAGAACAATGGCCCCCTCCCCCCGTTAAAAGGGAGCGGCGCGCGTGCAGGGCGCAGAGCCGAGCCGCCGGGCGACGGGCTGGGGCTCCGGGGCCCCGGGCGGACGCGACGCGACGCGACTCCCGGCCCGTGCCCGGTCCTCGCCGCGCTCCAACATGCCGCGCGGCTTCCTGGTGAAGCGCAGCAAGAAGTCCACGCCCGTGTCCTACCGGGTCCGCAGCGGCGAGGACGGCGACCGCGCGCTGCTGCTGTCGCCGGGCTGCGGGGTGGCCCCTGCCGAGCCCCCGGCGCCGCCGCCCGCCGAACGCGCCCATGCGGCTCTGGCCGCCGCGCTGGCCTGCGCGCCCGGCCCGCCGCCGCCCCCCGCGGGCCCGCGCGCCGTGCACTGCGGCAACCCCGAGGCGGCGCACCCCGCGCCCCTCTACAGCCCCACGCGGCCCGTGAGCCGCGAGCACGAGAAGCACAAGTACTTCGAGCGCAGCTTCAACCTGGGCTCGCCCGTCTCGGCCGAGTCCTTCCCCACGCCCGCCGCGCTGCTCGGGGGCGGCGGCGGGGCGGCAGGCGGCGACCCGCTGCTCTTCGCGCCCGCCGAGCTCAAGCTGGGCACGGCCTTCGCCTCCGGGGCCGAGGCGGCGCGCGGCCCCGGGCCCGGGCCCCCGCTGCCGCCGGCCGCCGCCCTGCGCCCCCCGGGCCGCCGGCCCGCGCCCCCCGCCGCCGCCGAGCCGCCCGCCAAGGCCGCCAAGGCGGCGGGCGCCAAGAAGCCCAAAGCCATCCGCAAGCTGCACTTCGAGGACGAGGTGACGACGTCGCCGGTGCTGGGGCTCAAGATCAAGGAGGGCCCGGTGGAGACGCCCCGGGGGCGCGCGGGGGGCGCGGCGCGGCCGCTGGGCGAGTTCATCTGCCAGCTCTGCAAGGAGGAGTACGCCGACCCGTTCGCGCTGGCGCAGCACAAGTGCTCGCGCATCGTGCGCGTGGAGTACCGCTGCCCCGAGTGCGCCAAGGTCTTCAGCTGCCCCGCCAACCTGGCCTCGCACCGCCGCTGGCACAAGCCGCGGCCCGCGCCCGCCGCGCCCCGCGCCGCCGAGCCCGAGCCCGCCGCCAGGCCCGAGGCGCGGGAGGCCGCGGGCGGCGGCAGCGACCGCGACACGCCGAGCCCCGGCGGCGTGTCGGAGTCGGGCTCCGAGGACGGGCTGTACGAGTGCCACCACTGCGCCAAGAAGTTCCGCCGCCAGGCCTACCTGCGCCGGCACCTGCTGGCGCACCACCAGGCGCGGCAGGCCCCGGGCGCGCCGGCCCCGGCCCCGGCCCCGGCCCCCGCCGAGGACCTGCTGCCGCTGTACGCCGGGCCCGACGACAAGGCGGCCCCGGAGGCGGGGCCCGACGGCGAGGGGCCCGGCGTGCTGGGGCTGAGCGCGGCCGCCGAGTGCCACCTGTGCCCCGTGTGCGGGGAGACGTTCCCGGGCAAGGGCGCCCAGGAGCGCCACCTGCGCCTGCTGCACGCCGCGCAGGTGTTCCCCTGCAAGTACTGCCCCGCCACCTTCTACAGCTCGCCCGGCCTCACGCGGCACATCAACAAGTGCCACCCGTCCGAGAACAGACAGGTGATCCTCCTGCAGGTGCCCGTGCGGCCCGCCTGCTAGAGCGCCCGCCGCGGACTGTGCCTTCGCCCCGAGAGCGCGCCCCGAGAGCGCGCCCCGAACCCGCGTCCGCCTGCCCCGCCCCCACCCCGCCAAAGTGTTGTCTCCGCTTCTCCCGGCGTGGCGTGACGGTAACCCCGGTCCTCTCGCGGCGACCCCTCCCGCCCCCGCCCCCCCCCGCCCCCAGCTCTGCGTGGTGTTCCCTGCGCCCCCAGAGCCACCGGAGCCCTTCGCCTCCTGGACAAGGGAGAAAAGCTGTCCGCGTTTGTGTCGTGGTTGCGAGCCTCCCGTAGAAGGGGCAGAGCTGTTTTTCTTGCTAGTGTTCGCTGTGCTCATGGTTTAGAAACGCGGTTTGCTCTTGCCCGCCAATCTCTGCTCTCCATGTATGTAGCGTACGGGTTGTTTTGGGTGAATCTTGAGGAATAATGCCTTTATCTGTCACAGGCTGTAAATGGAACCCCCTCCCCATGATTAGCTTTATTATGGCTTGTGAACTGCTGGAGTCTGGCTTTACCTTTTTTGTATGTGAACAAATCAAATTGCTTAAAAAGAAAAAAAGACGTTTTCTTTAGCATAGCCACAAATGCCTTGAACTATTGTCTGTTGGGGTTTTTTTGGAGGGGTGGGGTGGGAAGGGTTTTTTCTGAAGATGTTGTAGAAACTGCCTCAATATTTCCCATGAGACCTTCTGGTTTGATCATCTTCACTGAGGTAGCACTGAGTTCTCTCTAATGTATATGTTGATTTATGAGTAATTGTTATTTATTCTTTATTTATTTATATTAAGTATGAAGATTATGATATTATTTGATTGCAGATCTTGTTTTTTCTTTTTCGTGTGTGTGTTCCCCCCCGCCACTCTTGACATTTCACTGTGCATTTTAGAAGAGAGCCTTTTTCTAAAGGGATCTGCTAAAGTTTTAACTTTTATACCTATCTGAGTGAATTACAGATAACCTACCATTTTATTCTGCTTGGGGCACCCCTGAGGCCCTTGTACAACTGACAGCTCTTACTTTTAAATGCAATCTCTTTTCTACATACATTATTTTCTTAATTGTTAGCTATTTATAGAAAGCTTCAATAGAACTGTTCCAACTGTATAACTATTTACTATTCAAATAAAATATTTTCAAAGTCAAAAGAAAGTGAATTTATTTGTGCATCACAGAATTTCAACCAGAATATGAAATAGATCTTCAGTGAGTATTTAAACATATTTGATTTTTTTTTCTATTATGGGGTGGGGGGAATCCCTCACCACCAGTGGCTGAGTGGAGTCTTGGATGAAGCAGGCTTGCTGGACTCTACCCTCATGACCTGGTCTCTCACCAAGGCTAACTGGACCTGATGCTCTTTAGTGGTCCTAGGGAAGATACTGAAAGGTGGAATAGGAAGTAAGGTAGTAGGAATCTCTTGTAGAATTATATGTAAGTGACCTCAAGGATCTATCCTTGCCACCAAAGGGATGTCAAAGTACACTTTAATTTAGCTGATGCTTCATTTTCTGATCATTTGGGGGGGGGGGTGACTTAATCCTTAAGTATCTAGTAGAAGAAAGTAGAAAGGTTTTTACAGTCAGATTTCCAAAGCAAGGGAATTCACATTTTATTTGGATGTAAGGGAAGTTTTTAAAAGCAACTGTGTTTGGGATTAAGTTCAGAAAAAAATTTCCAATCAGGTGACCAATCCATTTTGGGGGGAAAATAGAACACCATCTGTTTGGGACATTAAATTTAATAACAGATAATTACAATGTTTTCCGTTATGTGTCACTCAGCTCTTTGAAGAACAATTCTGATACTCACCAGTTAATATTGTGAGTGGTTTTCCCTGTCTTTGAAACACTCCATTACAGAGCTGTGTTAAATATCACCCGTGCTTATCCCCCTCCTTTTTGTGCTGTGTTTTTGCTATTCCTACCCCCAAGGCCAACTAGATCTACAGCTTTCCCAGCAAATGGAGTTCAGGTCTGTAGAGTGAAGGGATGAATTTCCAAGGAAAGAGCTAGACTGGGTAAAGGGAAGGGTAATTCCTAAGAAAAGGGGAAGGAAAAATAGACCCAAATTGATCATTTTTCAGATCCTGAGCCCAGAGTTGTATGCGTGAGAGGGTTTATTCAAATAAAGGCCCAGTTGGTCAGGAGCAGTGAATATTTCTCTCACTGGGGGGGGGGGGGGGGGGGGTCTTGAGTAGGATAACAATGAAAGAGAAGTTGCTACAGGTGATACTGAACAACACTTTGAATTGTGGATGAGATGTGTTTTTACAGGTTGGAAATTTCTTGAAGACAAAAGCTCAGTGCTGCCACAGTATTAAAAAGCTCGGCAGTGGTTACAAACTGAAAATTTTAAACGAAAAAATGGAAACCTCAAATATGTAGACTGATGGTTAATTCTCTGAGCAATATTAAAATTGAGTCTTCTCCAAGTGTTCCATCTAAATTTCACCATGCTATGATCCCTCATACTGAAGGTCAGATGCTCCATGTCAATAAAAGGTTTTTCTAACAATCTAATAGTTGAGGACCACAACGATAGTACAGAGGTTAAGGCACTTGCCTTACACATACCTGAATCAAATCCCCAACACAATACATCGTCCCAACACAACACATGGTCAGGTGATCCCTGAGCACAGAGCCAAGGGCAAGTCCTAAGCACCATTGAGCATGGTCCCAGAAAAAACCAAAAATCTAACGGTTGGCCACTCCAAGTGAAAACTTAGGTGCTGGAATGGTATCTTGCCACTGTGTTCAGCTGGCTATCTTTCTTGTCTGTAATTACAGAACAAATGTATCTAAGATCCACTTTCAGGAAGGTGAGAATAACTTGGTAGCTTACAAATGTGCTCCTTCATCCTCTGTGAAAACTTATTTTCATTGACCAAATATACCCTTTTTAAAAAATAGAAGCGGATTTTCACTTTTGTGAAAAAGGAAATGAAATAGTTTAGTAGGAACTGGGGAGAGAGCGAATGCCTTCCTATCCTGAATACATGATTCAGTGAGGCCAAAATGCAAGAGGCCCCGAGTTCAACCCCTAGCAACCATGGCCCCTTCGAGCACCACTGGCCCAGAGGAGGGAGCATCCAGACGCACATCACCAGGTATGAATTAGTGCAGAGCAAATGGAGTGTGTCTATTTAAACAGCATAGAAAAGACCACTCATTTTGAAGTAATGAACAGGAGTTGGCAGAATAATTCATAGGAATCCAATTCTCTTTGTCTTTCCCTCTCTTCTATCCTTGTATAATAAGTCCCCAATTATATTTCCTACTCTAGAATACCAAGTGAACACATACTCACCTTCCTTATAATTGTGCAAAGAATCCTGAGGACAGTGTGTGTGTTCCAGAGCTTGTTCCAGACTTTCCACCATGAGTGGAAAACAGCCAAGCCAACCACACCACCCCACAGTCAGGCATCGGGAGTTGACTTAGTTGGGGGGAACGGGAGGGCGGGGGCGGGGGCGCAAGGAAGTCAGCAAAAGGAACAGGATCAAGGAGGGAGGAGCTGAAGGAGAAAACCAAAGAAAACACATTTTCTGCCAATGGACCCCACACTTCTCGACTTCCTACACATGTGGTATAATAAAAAGCAACAAGCTGCTCTGCTCTGGCTAAACTGTGCAGAAAGCCTGCGGCCGAGCCAGCTGCTGTCCTCCAGAGGCACGTTTCCCTGGGGACGGCCCCCACCCCCACCCCCGCCCCAAGGTGGCGTGTTTCCCTCCCACCCTCAGAGCGGGAGAGAAGAACTAAAGGGACTCCGCGGAGAGTTCCTTCCTCCTGTGTGGGGACAGCTACAGGCGTGACTGTCTTCTAGATGGCCCCAGGGCCCAGCGTCAAGTTCAGCCAATGTACCCAGACCCCGCGGCAGAGCGACTGCTCACGGGTACCCTGTGAGCCCAGCAGAGCAGACCGTGGTGATCCCATCACGGGGCGGGGCGGGGCTGACGCCCTGGGGCTTGCTGGACGCTGACTGCACCCTGATGCACGGCTGTGATGGGTGCTCTGCAGAACCTGGGCGCCCCGGGCCACGTAACACCTGCACAGGACAAATGTCCAGCTGCTGAGGAGAGGGCACAGGTCCCTGCTGCAGGTGTCCGAGTGACTAGCCTGCCTCCTTATACCAGCTGCTTGTCCATCCACTTCAACTTTATTCTGCAGCCACCTACAAAGCCTTCAAACAAAGCAATGCGGAAGAATCTCTTAATCCCAGCAAACAGATAATGGAATTATCTGTTCCAGGAATTCTTTACCCACCATATGGCCCTGCAGAAAGAGAAAGAGAGTGTGTTCGGAGGTGGCCTGGGCGTGCCCCCTGGACTCCAGTGAGCTCCCTGGCTTCCACAGACTGCTGTCTCGTCTGCAAGCCAGAGAGAATAGGATTCTCTAAACCCGGCAAGATTATTTGGGGAGAATTCCTGAAAGTGAGAGATGAAAGGCAGTAAGGATCCCGAGGAAATGACATTCTCTAGCACTCAGGATTAGTTATAGATCCACTGGCCTCGGACAGGCAGACTAAGAAAAGCTGACTTTCCTCTTTCTTTCTTTCTTTCTTTCTTTCTTTCTTTCTTTCTTTCTTTCTTTCTGTCTTTCTTTCTTTCTTTCTTTCTGTCTTTCTTTCCTTTCTTTCACTCTCATTCTTTCTTTCTCTTTCTCTTTTTCTTTCTTTCTTTCTTTCTTTCTTTCTTTCTTTCTTTCTGTCTGTCTTTCCTTTCTTTCACTCTCATTCTTTCTTTCTCTTTCTCTTTTTCTTTCTTTCTTTCTTTCTGTCTGTCTGTCTGTCTGTCTTTCCTTTCTTTCACTCTCATTCTTTCTTTCTCTTTTTCTTTCTTTCTTTCTTTCTGTCTGTCTTTCTTTCCTTTCTTTCATTCTCATTCTTTCTTTCTCTCTCATTCTTTCTCTTTCTCTCTTTCTTCCACTTTTTCTTTCTTTCTCTTTCTTTCTTTTCTTTCTTTCTCTCACTCTCTTTTTCTTTCTCTCTTCTCTTCTCTTTCTTTCTTTCTTTCTTTATTTCTTTTCTTTCTTC